TCTGATCCAGGTTTTTTGGTTGTATAAGCTTCCAGCAGAGTTTGTAGAATAAATACCAGTGCTCAGTGGTCCCCATTATTCTGATTTAGAACTCGAGTGATTGATGGAAGTGAAGTGTCCAGAAGGCAGCCTTTGACCAAGCAAGCAAGAGGAAAAAATGAAGACAGTCTGTCTCTCTCAAAAGATCCCGGCTCAGCCCTCAGGGTCATTCCAGGAAGAACACCAAGCAGACTTTGTCCCCAGTAACCCTGGGAAAGGAAAAGCAAAAACCCTGGAGAAGGAGGCAAGTTCTACAAACAGCACAGCTAGACAAAATCCCAAATAGCTCAGCATTAAGGTCCTCTACCCTTATGGCTCTCTGGAAGAAAAGAATCTAATCAGTACAACCATGATCTAGGTATTCCTCTCAAGTTTTATAAAAGTGTTCCCTATAACAGAGCCCAAAATCAGCTCCTTCCTCATGTAATAATGCAAGAAAACACAGGAAGCTTAGCTAAACAAAATGATGGTAATAAATTCCATGCTGAGCCTGGTGCTGATGGCTCTCAGCTGTAATTCTAGTTACTCAGGAGGCTGAGATCTAAGAATAACAATTTGAAGATCCTAGGCAGAAAAGTCCATAAAGACTCCTATCTCCAATTAACCACCAAAAAAATTAAAAATTAAAAAAAAAGTGGATCAAGTCATGAAGTACCAACCTTGAACAAAAAAGCTAAGAGACAGTACCCAAGGCCTGAGTTTACACCTGAGTTTACACCTCAGGATCCTCCATAAAAGCACATGCACATATACATACAAAACTAATAAATAAATAAATGTCATGCTGGGCCAACAAATGAGTATTGTACCTTTCCATCAACTCCAAAACTAACAAGTAGACAGTTATTCTCAAAAGGAAATTACAACTTATTTGTTGGTTCCAGCTTTAATTTGCTTTCTTTCCCTATTTTGCTGAGTTCACAGGAAAAGAGAAAGCCCAAACTTGCTTTTATCAGAACTGGGACCAGACCCTCAAATACAAGCAAATTGGAGTCTTTCATTTAATCAACATATTACAGCACATCCCGTGTCCAGCACTGACCTGCTAGACCAACACAACCTGGGGAACTCTTGCTTTCTTCTAGGCAGGAAAGAAGTAGAAGGGGAGGAAACTCATTTTTGAGACATCCAAAGCCACTAACAACAGGAGCCTGGCACCTGTAATCCTAGCTACTCAAGAGGCTAAGATTTGAGGATCACAGTTTAAAGTCTGTCAGGGGAAGGAAATCCCCAGAGATAATTATCTGCAAATAACTACCAAAAACCGGAAGTTGAGCTGTGGCTCAAATGGCTGAGCATTCACCTTGAGGAAAAAAGCTCAGGACAGGACCCAAGGCCTAGGTTCAAGCCCCAGGACTGGCATAAAACAAAACAAAACAAGATTTATGTTCATGGCTTAATTTTCTAAAGGATTTTCTTCAAACTCTATCAAAGAAATGAGTAGAGGCTGGGAAGGTGGCTCAGTGGTAGAATGCTTGTTTTACATGCATGAGGCCCTGGGTTCAGTTCCTCAGCACCACATAAGCAGAAAAAGCCAGGAGTGGCGCTATGGCTCAAGTGGTAGAGCCTTGAGCTAAAGGGCTGAGGGACAGCACTCAGGCCAAGATCAGGCCCCACAACCGACCCTCCCTTCCCCTCCAAAAAATCAGTAGAAACCTATTTTTAAGGCCCAAATGAAGAGATTCCATTCCAATATCAAATCCCTATTAGCAGAAAGTTTTCTAAAACCTGTTTCCCCAACACAGTACATTTATTTTTTTAACACAGTACATTTAGAATATTTCTTCTTATCTATCCTAAACTTTGTGTTTATCCATGGATGTGATGGTAGAGTTCACATACAAACACAACCATTTCTCAATCAAATGTTTTCTTAAGATGACTGAAGTCACAAGCCTGGCCTTACAAACACATGAAGCACATTTAGTAAGGGCAAAGATCACTTTCTCTTACTCCAGTGTCACCAAAGTGTTCTGTGACTTGAAAGGTCAGGAATTCCCCTCCCTGGGCTCATAAACATCAGCCATAGATCCTTCTCCTGTCCTAGCAGCAAAGAATGTCTTTGTAAAGATGATCCACACACCATTCTTCATAAATTCCCTTTCAGCTCCTTGATCAGTTTCCTTGACCACACCCAACTCACTGGAAGGAAAAAAACCTTCTGATTCTGAAGACTGGAAAAATCAAATCATTCTCAAGACTTACAGCATCATGAAAGTCCATCTCATTCAATGGCTAGGCACAGTGGCACACATCTGCTTTCCCAGCTACAGGGGTAGGTACAATGGTTCTGGGCTCACCTGTCATCCCCAATGACACAGGGAGCTCAAGTCAGTCTTTGGACAACCAAAGAACAAGGAGGCTGGAGGTATAGCTCCAGTGGGAGAGACACCTGCCTAGCAAGCACAAGACCCTGGGTTCAAACCTCAATACTGAAAGGGAACACACACAGACACAGACACACACACATGCACGCACCCGTGCACACGCGCACACACACACGCACGCACACACACACACACACACAGAGGCACACACATGCGAAGAGTCAAAATTCTAATCCACTGTCCCAGGGAGCAAAGCAGTTGACTGTAGGACTATCTTCCCAGAAGTACAGGGGCACTATTTAGGTGGTGGAAATGTCCTATGTCATATCTGTAGTAGTTTGGTATACACACATCAAACTCAAACAACCTTCCTAAAGCACACAAAAATCACACCTCAATCAAGTTAGTTTTAAAAATACAGTGAGGGCCAGGCGCTGGTGGCTCATGCCTGCAATCACAGCTTCTCAGGAGGCTGAGATCTGAGGGTCGTGGTTCAAAGCCAGCCGGGGCAGGAAAGTCTGTGAGACTCTTATCTCCAATAAACCACCAGAAAACTGGAAGTGGCACTGTGGCTCAAGTGCTAAAGCACTTGCCTTGAGCTGAAGAGCTCAGGGATAGCACCAGGCACAGAGTTCAAGCCCCACCACCCACTAAATAAAAAAATAAACAGGGCTGGGAAGGTGGCTGGTGGTAGAGTGCTAGCCTTGAGCTGAAGAGCTGAGGGACAGCGCCCAGGCCGAGTTCAGGCCCCACGACTGGACCCCAAAAAAAAAATAAAGAGTTCAGTATACTCACATCCTTAATTCTTCTGTAAAAGAAAAAATTAGGGGAAAAGAAAGGAAGTGGTGACATTGACCAAGAAACAGGGTACACATTACCTGACTTATAGAATTGTAAGCCTTTTGCAAAACTATTTAATAACACTAAAAAATGCAGACACAAAAAGACAAGGTCTCAACTGAAACTGCTTTGTACAATTAAATATTTTTTTAATATTTCTTAAAAATTTAAATAAGCCTGGCACCAGTGGCTCACGCCTGTAATCCTAACTACTCAGGAGGCTGAGATCTGAGGATCCCGGTTCATAGCCAGCCCAGGCAGGAAAGACCATGAGACTCCTATCTCCAATAAACCACTAGAAAACCAGAAGTGGTGCTGTAGCTCAAGTGGTAGAGCGCTCTCCTTGAGATGAAGAGCTGAGGGAGCACCCAGGCCCAGAGTTCAAGCCCCATGACTGACAAAAACAAAAACAAAAAAACCTTAAATAATAGCCAGGCACCAGTGCCTCATACTTATAATCCTAGATACTCAGAAGGCAGAGATCTGAGGATTTTCGTTTGAAGCCAATCCAGGTAGAAAAGTCCAAAGTCCACAAGACGCTTACCTCCAATGAACCAGCAGCTATGGCTCAAGTGGTAGAACGTTAGCATGAGCAAAACAGCTAAGGTATAGTAACCCTGGCCCTGAGTTCAAAGCCCAGTACCAAAATAAATGAAGGGAAGAAAAGGAGGGACAAGGAAGGGAAGGAGGTAGCTGGCTCTATGAGGTACAGCCTAGCCTCAAGATCATAATTCTCCAGTCTCAGTATCCCAAACTAGACTATAGGTGTGAGTCATATGTCCAGTTCACCTATTCTTTCTTCATCTCATTCTAGTCAAGCTTTCAACCCTAATTCTGTGTTGCCAGAACCAGTTTGAGTGAGAGGTACTTCTGTTTTGTTTTTTTGATCTTGGGGCTTGAACTCTGGGCCTGGGGGCTGTCCCTCAGCTCTTCAGCTCAAGGCTAGTGCTCTACCACTTGAGCCACAGTGCCACTTTCTGTCATTAATTGGAGATAAGAGTCTCACAGACTTTTCCTGCCCCAGCTAGCCTTGATCCATGATCCTCAGATCTCAGCCTCCTGAGTAGCTGGGATTACAGGTGGGAGCCACTGGTGGCCAGTTTTTTTTTGCTTTGTTTTGTTTTTTGGTTGGAGCTAGCCTTGATCCATGATCCTCAGATCTCAGCCTCCTGAGTAGCTGGGATTACAGGTGGGAGCCACTTGGTGGCCAGTTTTTTTTTTGCTTTGTTTTTTGGTTGGTCATGGGCTTGAACTCAGATCCTGGGCACTGTCCTTGAGCTTTTGTGCGCAAGGATAATGCTCCACCACATTGACTCAATAGCTCCCCTTCTGGTTTTCTTTTTTTCTTTTTTGTCATGGAGCTTGAACTCTGGGCTTGGGCTCTGTCCTTGTGCTCTTCAGCTCAAGGCGAGCGCTCTACCGCTTGAGCCACAGCACCACTTCTGGTTTTCTAGTGGTTTATTGGAGATAAGAGTCTCACGAACTTTCCTGCCCAGGCTGGCTTTGAACCGCGATCCTCAGATCTCAGCCCTCTGAGTAGCTAGGATTACAGGCGTGAGCCACCGGCACCCGGCTCCCTTCTGGTTTTCTGATGGTTAATTGGAGATAAGTCTCAAAAACTCTCCTACCCGGGCTGGCTTCAAACCGTGATCCTCAAATCTCAGTCTCCTGAGTAGCCAGGGTTATAGGCATGAGCCACAAGCACCTGGCCTCAGCCAGGTTGTCACTGCCTCTCATAGCCATCTCCTTGTACCCAGAAGGGGCACTCTGGGACCCTGTGCCCTGTTTACTCACCAGAGCCCAGTAGTTGAGTGTGTACAGTCTCATGGAAAATAATAACTGCAGGGCCCAGGGTGGATAAGGGGACATCTAGGCCACAGCGGGCAGTGGTAGCTTTAAGCTCCTTGGTGAAGTGTTTTAGATAAGCTTCTGAGGCATCCCCAAGGAATTTGAAGAGGTCATTATGTAGCCGGTCTGCATGAGTTCGATAGATGACCAGGTCTGAGATGGCCAGAACCTTGAGCAGCAGCCGTGTTCGCTGGCTGAGATTCACCGTGGCCCCCAACAGCCCTTCTGTGTCTATCACTGCTACTTTGTGCACTGGGTCATAGGCAGCCCACACTCCCACCGTGCAGGACTCCTGGGCAGGAGAAGTTTTGAAGACTTCACGGCCATAGAAGAAAGTGTGGTTGAGGGTATGAGACTTTCCATCACCAGTATTTCCAAAAATGGAAACCACCTTCAGATGCTGATCAGGTTTACAGTCCAATTTCCTAATAAAGTCCTCTTCGTTTGTTACCTTCAAAAAACAAAAACAAAACAGAAAAGGCAATGAAACCTGCAAACTAAAAAACCAGAAACACCTACAAGAAGGATGAGTGCTTCCCAAAGTCAGGGTCTATGACTGACCAGCAGGATGGGAAGGAGACAGACGAGTCTCAGAACAAGGCTCCACCACACTTTCCAACCTCAGGAGATTGCTTACCGATCTCTGGAGCCTCTGAGCCTCAGGCAGTGCAGGAACTCAGTGGTCACAAAAGAACCAAAGCTATAAAACTTTTTAAGACACAGAGCCAGGCACTGGTGGCTCCTGCCTGTAATCCTAACTACTTAGAAGACTGAGTTGTGAGGATCCTGGCTCAAAGCCAGGAAAGTTTGTGAGACTTTTATCTCCAAATAATCAACAAAAAGCTGGAATTGGAGCTGTGGCTCAAGTGGTAGAGCACTAGCCTTGAGCAAAAAACTAAAGGAGAGCACTTAGATCCTGAGTTTAAACCCCAGTATCACCACAAAAAAAGGGGGGGCTGGGAAGGTGGCTCAGTGGTAGAGCGCTTGCCTTGCATGCCTGAGGCCCTGAGTTCAATTCCCCAGCACCACATAAGCAAAAAGAAAAAAGCTGGAAGTGGTAGAACGCTAGCCTTGAGCTGAAGAGCTGAGGGACAGCGCCCAGGTCCAGAGTTCAGGCCCCATGATGGGACCAAAAAAAAAAAAGCAGGGGTGGGGTCTGGAGGTAAAGCACAACTGGTACAGTGCCTGCCTTATAACTAGGTAAGAGACCTTAAGCTTAATCCCCACTACCATCAAAAAAAAATCAGGAATTTCAAGCCAGGCACCAGTAGCTCATGTCTGTAACACTAACTACACAGGAGGCTGAGATCTGAGGACGACAGTTCAAAGCCAGCCCAGGCAGGAAAGTCTGTGAGACTCCAATAAAGTATATAGAAAAAGGTGGAAAAAAGCCAGAGTAGCACTGTGGCTCAAGTGGTAGAGTGCTGGCCTTGAGCACAGAAAGACTCAGGGATAGAACTCAGAGACCCTGGGGCTGGGAAGGTAGCTCAGCGGTAGAGTGTATGTCTTGCAAGCATGAGGCCCTGGGTTCGATTCCTCAGCACCACATAAACAGAAAAAGCCGGAAGTGGCGCTGTGGCTCCAGTGGTAGAGCACTAGCCTTGAGCTGAAGAGCTGAGGGACAGCGCCCAGGCCCAGAGTTCAGGCCCCATGACCGGCAAAA